AAAGAAGTCAATTTAAAATTATAAGGAATGAAATACAGAAGGTAGATGACTTTTTTTTCTTCCTGTTCCTGACACAAGGATAAAGGGGTATTTAATAAATTGAAAATCCATCATTCAAAACTAACTAAAAAAAAAAAAGTACATAAAACTTCATTGGAATAGTAGTTTGATTACAGTGGAACCCATTGTCTCAGCATGCTTCTAAGGTAAAAAATACATAGGATTCATTTGAATCTTATGTATTTTATATATGTATCAAGTCTATGTATATGAATCTTGTGTATTTTGTATACGTGGAAAGCCCTACTACCCCCCAGTGATTACCGCACATTCCGTAAAATGAATGCTATATTGCTTCCCAATTTGAAAGCCAAAATCCATGAATCTTTTGATCTTTATAATTTTACTTTATTAAACTTGTTTATTTGGTCTGGAGGATAGAAACAAATGCTGTATTTATTCAAATCCAAGATGACTTCAAATTTAAGATGACCTCCCATGTGTTAGGTTCTAGACATGGAAAATTACAAATTTGTTTTAATTTTCCACGTCTAGAATCTAGTTATTAGAGAGTCCTCTCAAATTCACGTCCCTCTTGCCCCCACTCCACTGCTGCAGAATAAGTTATGGCAGGGAAAGCAGGTGCTGGGGGAGTAGGCAACCTGCCCTATGCCCCTTCTCATCCCCCTCCTCTGCTTGTCACTTGCCCCCTCACTGTGCCTGGCTCCTCTCCTCTCCCTCTCCCAGCTGCGTACCTTTGCAGCTGTTGTGACTTGGGTCATGGAGCACTTGGCTGGGCCAGGCAGTATCAGCGGCTCCAGCTTCAGTCGGGGTCAGGGCTAGAGCTACAGCAGCTCCCCCAGCCACTCTGCAGACCTCTTCCCTATACTCCCTCTGCTCTGTGCTCCCCTTCCCTGTGCTTCCCTCACTGTGCTCCCTTTCCCTGCACTCCTTGCACCTTCCTTTCCGCCCAGCACTGCTTCCCCTTTCCCTTGCTCCTTCCCTGTGCTGCCATCAATGTCTTCCCCTGGGCTCCCCCTGTACTGCGCACCCCTTCTCCCCCTGCTTCATGCACCTCCTACCTGCTGCAGGAGCCACCCTGGCCCCATCTGAGCCACAGCAACTTCCTACCTGGCCTGTCCTCAAAACTAAGACAAGTGATTTTTTCTCCATGGTGAACAGGAAAAATAAAAAAACCTTGCCTTAATTTGAGCAAATACAGTAAGTTTATTTCCTCTTCAGTGTCCTTCAACATGTATTTTTATATATCCATAGTTGGTGTATGAAATGCAGTCAGATATCAGAAGAGATGTTATGTTACATGATTTAGGGTTTATAACCAGAGATGACCCTAGCAGTGTGTGGGGCCCAGGGCAAATCAGCCTGTGCAGGGCCCAGATGCGAAGAAGTCGGGGGTGGCAGCGGTGGGGTGGGGTGGGTTGGGGGGTGGGGGGGGGGAGGGGGGGGGGGCGAGCCGAAGCCGGTGGCAGCGCAGAGTTGCTAGCACTAGGTGGGCCCTGCAGGAGGGGCTGCTGTCACTTCATCCAGCTCCTTAGGTCCCCCCCAAGTGTGGGGCCTGGGGTGGTTGGCCGCCCCCCCCCCCCCCCCCCCCGGGACAGCCCTGTTTATAACAATTTTTAACTGTTGGAGATTAGTTATTATGAGCCTAATTACTATGCATCAGACTATTCTGAAGCTTCAATCACTTGGCTCTAAATCATCTGATACTGGCCGCTGTTAAAGGCAGAATATTAGATGATATATGGTCATTGGTAAATGATTCAGTAGTTATTCCCCTGTTCCTGTAGTGGCACCAGAAGGCTGGAAAATCTTTTTTTTTTTTCTAATTAGTTAATTTGATCCCAACCTTTAACTGTTTTAATCATATTATGAATTTAGTCCAGGGTCATGTGCCTCCCTGTATCTTATTTTTTTGGATTTCTTTTTACATATAATCTTAACTGTAGTTTTGGGTTTGTAGCACCTGGTTTTGGGATGACAGCAGCAGTCTAAAGATTAGAAAGGTAAATTACTGGTACATACTCAAAACATATGTTTATATGAGTGGACACACCGGAGGGTAGGGAACAACTACAAGCAGACCTGGACAGGTTGGACATATGGGCGGAAAACAACAGAATGCAATTCAACAAGGAGAAATGCAAAGTGCTGCACCTAGGGAGGAAAAATGTCCAGCATACCTACTGCCTAGGAAATGACCTGCTTGGAGGCACAGAAGCGGAAAGGGATCTTGGAGTCCTAGTGGACTCCAAGATGAACATGAGTCAGCAGTGTAACACAGTCATCAGGAAAGCTAATGGCACTTTATCGTGCATCAGCAGATGCATGATGAACAGAACCAAGGAGGTGATGCTTCCCCTCTATCGGGTGCTGATCAGACCGCAGTTGGAATACTGCGTGCAATTTTGGGTGCCACACTTCAAGAGGGATGTGGAATACCTGGAGAGGGTCCAGAAAAGGGCCATTCGTATGGTTAAGGGCTTGCAGACCAAGCCCTATGAGGAGAGACTGGGGCACCTGGACCTCTTCAGCCTCCACAAGAGAAGGTTGAGAGGCGACCTTGTGGCTGCCTATAAGTTCATCACGGGAGCACAGAAGGGAATTGGTGAGGCTTTACTCACCAAGGC